CTTCCAGGGCTCGTAAGATGAAATCAAGCTATTACCTATCACTTGCCTGCCAGCCCGAACGGAATATGAGCCTTCTACCCAACCAATGTGTCCATCATTAATACGGTCTAGAGCTAGCAGAGCATCAGAACCGATTTTTGGCTCCGAGTGTCATGCCATCAATTGCCTTACACCCTTCGTCATATGATCACAATGACGATTCAGGACGATAGGCAGGGGACAAGGCCCAAAGTTAATTAAACGCACCAGAGCTGGAGATGTCCAAATTATCCAGCAGGCTCTGCACAAGGCAAGGCCTCCCTCTCCCAACGCGTGTGAATGGACCGATGTATGTAGACACACATGCACACGCATGACACGCACACAAAACTACCCATCTCTTTACGCGCACACGTACTCATTGTCCCTCGCTCAATGCCAACCTATTCCATCCCGTACACACCACTCCCTTCAGGAACCCGGTAAGGAGATGATGTTACATACACACACTCGGTGAGCCAGTCGGCCTCACTCGCATTGGCTCGCCCCCCTGCTGACTTGGCTCTGCCCTTCAGAACCAAGTGTCTTGTCTCTTCGACACGAGCGCATCATCCATACGTCGAGCATCCCATCACATCCCCAGCCCAGATGCAAGAGGCGGGTCTTGGTCGTGCCTGGCCGTGGATGAGGGGTGTTTGATTCAATGTGTTGCACCCTCTGGGTCAATGCGCCTCCAATGATTCGTCTCGACTTGCCCGCCAGTGCTAGCCAGACCCCCTGATTGCCCTTCTGGGAAATTTCGCTCTATCCCAACGGGGCCTCTTTCAAGTCAGGTACGTAGCACTTGTACCGCCCGTACCTGTCAGTTTCTAAATGCAATCTTGAGCCCCGCCCACCTTCCACACCGTGACCTGAGGCAACCTGCTGCCATGCACATCGCCAAATCCAAGCACACGTCCTTGTCTTGGCTGCGTCCCCAATTATTCATCGCCAGTCTGAGGAGAGAGAACGCCGAGATCGACCGACCGGCTGAGCCTTCGCCTTGGTCTCTGTGGCGTGCGTTTCTGGAGCCTCGCCAGAAGCATCATCCAACGCTCGTCGGAGTGTCTGATCTTGTGACTTGGCTCCCTCCATCGGTCCCCAGACAACATCAGTCTGTGTCATGCCAGTAAGGAATCACATCCCGCTAATTCCATCTCCATGAGGTTTAATCCCCTTTGGTCTACATGCCTCCAATGGCTAACCTCGGATATCAGACGGACATCGCATGCTACCTTCTCTCCCGGCTGGGTACCCTCGTTCCCAAGGCAGCCACCACTACAACCACAGTCCTCCCAATGGACATCTCAACGGCCCTCCATCTCGCCTCCAAATAGTTTGACATCTGATAACTGCAGAGCATTCGGGTTTCCACGGCAAGACCGTCAATGCAATTGATGGCACCCATTCGAGCATGGTCGTTTCCTATCACAGACTATCGCCAACTCACATCCTATACCGTGCCCGCATTAGAGCTGTTTTCCCCATGTCGTTATTCGCTGTGGTATGGCTCGCTACCACATACACACGAAGAAGAGGTAGGTAGTAGCTATCTAGACTGAATTGATTGCCTAACCCACTTGCGTGGCTACCATTTCTTCTCTTCATTTTTTTAGCTTGCCATTCAATCCATACTAAGCCTCAGCTCGGCATGGTCTGGTGCGAGGCCTTTTTTGCCCATGCTCTTTTTTTGTTTGGCATGCAAGATTTCATTTGTGAAGGGCAAAGTCTCTCTGGTCCCTTGCCCAGGCTCAATGCTACGTTCAGAAAGTCTGACTTTCCACTTTCCGACACTGCATGCTTCTGTTGTCTCGTGGAAGTGTCTTGGCCAATACCAATCGTTGCGGAGCCACAGACCAGAGGGTGTCAATGCAGAGCCAGGTATCAGATGTGGCGCCAACGTGGGAACTGCCATGCAAGCAGCTGGCGTTGTATTAGCGAAAAAAAAAAAATCATGTGGGTGTGGCCATCCATCGCATGGCCGACATGCATAAAGAACCAGTCGATCAGGCGCCCTGTCCTCCGATGTCAAGGTAGGACTCCGTGACGCGTATTCAAACTCAAGACAGACGACGATAGCCTGATACCGCCGGACAGCCTCGAATTCTAGCATTGACTGCACATGCCGCCGGTGCCGGCGCGCCTTGAGGACAAATCGGGCCAATGTCACGACATTTTACAGCCATATGAACACTCGAAATCTTAGCCTATCCTCCATCAACCCGGCGTGGAGACAGACAACTGTCACATGTCATTGGCTGACAGCGAGTCCAGACTTCTCCCGCCTCTCTCCTCCTCTCTCATGTGCTCATGTGCTTTCTAACAGCACCCAAGCCGTCAATTGTAGAATATCCACAGCGCTCGGTGCTTCGCTGGCTTCCTCGTGTAGCCACGGCCACTGTTTGGCCGCTTGCTCCACGCAATTATATGGAGTTGCCTTCCAATGTATCACCATTGTCGGTTACATTTACCTCTGCGACCCTTTTTACAGGAAACGTCACTGGCCATTGCAAACCATCTCTCACGGGCCATCCCTGCTAACGCACAAGGACCGGGATGTTCTCAGATGCGGTCCCTAGCGGGCTCTGTACGTTCCGGATGCATAACCTACCGTGTCGCAATGCAAGAATGATCTCTTTTCTTGCCTGACATTGATCCCGGCCAATTACTGACATGATAATTTTTACGACGCCTGCGGAGAATTACCGTCCACATCCCTGTTTTTGTTCGTACACTCAACCTCAACCGCAGCCGGCATCATGGGCAATGCCGTGGCATGCCTTTCATCACGGTAATAGGCCAACGTGTCAGTATCTCTCTCTCAAGCATCTACCAATGGAACGGCTTCGTACAGCCAAGTCAGCGGAGACAAGGATTGCGGGAACCAAGGTACCGAGGAGCAACTCCACAACCTGTGGGAAATTGAATATAGCCTCGGGAGCCATGAGCCCGGTATGTCGGTCAACGGCTCTCGTTTCCATCGGACCTCAGGGTCGAAGTCATATGCCAGTAATGCCCGCAGCCGGTTTCGATTGGGTAACGGATCTCAATAGCGTCCTCTTCGCTAGCATACGTGATCGACACAGACTCGGCACTCCCATTCAGGGGTTCAAACCCACGTCACTGGATACCTCGCGTGAGCCCCCTGTTGCGGTCCCTTCAACAGCCACTCCTGTAACTCAAGTTTATGATACTACTATGTCGTAATCTATCCCCAGCCACTGTATTTCTTCGCTCTGGCAATGGTCCAGTGCGCCCCTAGTCGGCGTTTAGTCGTAAACTTTTTCCTACCTAGGTGAGCATACATCTCCATACCCCGTCTCGGTAAATTGGCCCACGATACCATTAACGGCAATTCTTGGCATTTGGAATAAAACTTCCGTGGTGACCGAGAGCACCGGGCGTGCGACGATTCAAGCGCTTAAACTCCCAGACCGCCAAAGGTGCATGACATGGGCCCTTGAACAGCGACGACCGTGCTACGTTTGGGGAGGGCAAAGAGTTGTCTAGAGGATGTCTCGAAAGCCTCTGGCGCCCGTTGGAGTGCGCCCCGATTGCAGAATACGGGGTCGTAGCCTCGCCTCAGCCCGGCCCACAGCACTAATGCGTGTCCGTCTGGTCTTCTGTAGAGGCCAACTATTCTTGTACACAACGTCAGGGTAGCCGAGTCATTGTGGTCATCACAGCCTTCAAAAGTCTCCCTTCTGATTCCAGGGGCCATGCTAGTGCTCTTTAGTCTAGTCAAGAGAAGGATACCACCTTCTAGCGCCCTTCCTTTGCTTCACTAGGCTCAGCTTCCGAGACCCGCGCCGGTGCTGCATAAGATCACTCAATACTACGACATCATCGTACTGGCGCTCATCATCATGTGAGCGGAATGGGTCGTTTCACGTGGGGGGAGGGAAGGGCCCTGGAGGCCGTCGACACAATCTATGGGGTCATTGGGGGGCAGAAAAAGAAAAGGACGAGTTCTTCTGGGGGACCGAGCAAGGGCGGTGATTTGTTATGTGAGTAATACGGCTACACCACATGGCGGCAGCCCGTGTCTTTGCTAGGGTTGACGAATCAATCCAACTCACTTACACCAGGGGGGCCGGTATGCCTTTGATCTGAGGAAAAAATTGTGAAGCCTCCTTCCACGTCCGTGTCCCTGGTTTCTGACCTGACGACTAAACAGGCAGAAATGGCAGGGATTGGACGAGCCAAGCATGCGAATGCAATCTAATGCACCGGTTTCCTTCTGCACATCACTCTTCCTCAGATCAGCTGCGAAGGAAATAGCACGCTGAGCCCGCCCCGGTGGTATCGCCATCCTTGGTCCATGGGGCACGAGGTTCGAAAGAAGTACAACCATGAAAACACTAACCGAACAACAGCAACGAGAGATTGGTAACTCTGGTTTATTCTCTATACATCCAAACTGTAATTCTATATGAAGAAACGCCACCATCTATTACCCGGTCTAAGCCGATGGCCCTAGTGCAACTCAGTCCTCTGTGTGACCTGACTTGCTCCATCCAAACGAAATTGGTCTTTGCTCTCCTACAAAATGCAATATCACAACTGGTCCAAGCTGGGGTGGGCCTGGGTCCCAGGAACTCGCGTGTGATCTGGGAATGTTACGATTGAAGCTCCACACCGGTAAGAAGAGCACGAGAGCATGTCCCTGTCCATGTCGGCATCTCCTCTTCATCTCCTCCACCCTAGCCCGAAAACTCGGGCCTCATATAATCGTTGGCATAATGACAAGTGGGGGGTCCGCACACGAGCGTGAGCGTGACCCATAGAAAATTCGGTACCACGAACTGCAATGCCCCCCGGCTCATTTTCTTTTTCATCTGATGATTCGGAACGTAAACCTATACAGCGGTGAACGATGTATAGAGAGGCCGCCCCTCCCTTCATTCTGGATGCGACATATATGGCCTGATTGCCGGTAACTGACATCACCACCGCCTGAGCGTCGGACTCAATGCCTCCGTTCACAAGACACTACCTGCCTCCAACGTCTCCACGGGCACGTCTGTGTTTGGCTCGTCGATAACCGCATCCTCGGAAGGTTTAGGATCAGAGGCCGGCTGTCTGGGAGACGGCATTCTCATCTCAAGCACGTCGGTATCACTGGCATGTTTCTCCTGGTCCTCAAAGGTAAATGCATCAGACAGGTTCACCGCCAGGAACGTTTTCGGTAGTTTGACTCTGCACGATGGGTTAGTACAAGGAGGTAGGTGGGGCTCCGGGAACGATGAAGAAACATACTGGTTGAACTTGGCTCGTAGTGTCTTGATAACTTGAAGCCAATCACCGTGAGGGGTGAGACTCCTCCTCGGGGTGCTTCCAATGCAGTGCCTGCTGTCCAGTTGGACGTGCAATGGGTCGAAAACGTGGCAGCCTGGGCTGATGGTAATTCTGATACTGTACGCAAATGTGGGCTCGTCGGGAGAGTCGCTCTCTGGCTGCTTCATCTCGGACTCGTAAAGTTCAAAAGAGATCTGAGAGAGATAGTCAAGCTCTGGGATTGTGCTTCGCTTGATCTTTGTTTCGATTCCTCCCTCAATGATGCAGTTCAAGAGAGTGTAAATATGAGACTCCTTGGTGAAGTAAAAGAAAGATTTTGCGTAATTGGAGGCCTGCATCTCCTCGAGGTCTTGGACAATCTCTTTCAGTAGAGGCAGCGATGTCAACAGCCCGATTTCGAGCTTCTCCGTGTCAGAAATTCCGTACTCTTGTGGACAAATAAAGTCAAAGAGAATTTTAGCGAGCCGATATAGCTCCTGTAGAGGTTCATTCCTTGGGTCAGGCTTATCCAGCGCTTGGTCTGTTCCCTTGTAGAGCTTAAAGTACTGTTCAGGGGATGACTCTCCGTTGAGGTTCCTAAGATTGTTGAGAAACGATCGTCGTCGGAAAAGCTTCCTGACAGTTGCAGACCGGCTGGGGGGTTCAGATTTATCAGAAGATCCATCCGGAGACTGTGAGCTGCTTTGGCTTTTTTCCTTATCTGCCTTTTGCTCATCTGACGCCTTGCTCTCCTCTGAATCCTTTGGTTTTGGTTCTTTGGAGCCATGCTCTTTCAGGCCGTACTCTTCCAGCATGTGCTTTGGCGGAGTGAACACCCATTCCAAGAACTGTCTGTTGTGCAGGGCATCGAACTTCATCGTATCGTACAATTCGGAAATCTTGCTAGGATCGACCTTGTCGCCGTCAGAGAACTCGGCGAAAAGCTTCTCCCATCGTTCCCTGAATAATTCCGGATCTTCACCGGAGCACCACCGAGATTGGATAGCATTGACGGCATTGGCCTGAGACAGAGACGATGCAATAGATGAGTTGGAGGCTTCGCCATTGAGCTTTTCGGTAGAGTGGCCAGATAGGGAGCTCAGTGAATTCGCGGCACTGCCGAAGAGCTTCCCGTAATTATACTGCATCACACGCCGGTGGAAAGTCATGAGCTGGACAACTCGACTCTGGACCTCAGATGGCTCTGGCATGTTATCAGGCCAGGCGAACTCCGGGGGTCTTTCGTTTCCTTTCCGAAGAAGGCCTTTAAGCTTCTTCTTCACCTTGTCCGTTTCGTCCTTTGCAGCATTGGAATCATCTAACAAATCCTTGCGAATCGTGATGAAGTCTTCGGGAATATCCTTCTTTCCCAAGAATGACGCTGCCCAAATTTGAGCACTGGTTGTGACTCGTCTCTCCGAGCTACTAAAGACATGAACCTCGTCGAGTATGTCCCGGTTTAAAAGCGTCAGGTCGTTCCTCATGCTCTCTCCTAGCTCCTGAGACTGATAGCGAGCGGAGTGGGTTGGTTCTCCGCCCCATTTGACTATCAGCTGAAGTTTGTCAAGCACCAGCTGCTCTTCGGCTGCCGTAAATTTAGACATCGTTACCCCCGATAGAGAATCATGCCGCTTAGGGGTGATTTTGGGGGAGTATTCCTGACCCGGAGGGCCAGCCTCTGGCTTCGAGGGGCTCTCGACGTCCTCCTTCAAGCCAGGCATCTCACCAACGCCTGGGGTTTCTTCCGTCTTCTTCTTCCGGAACAGAGGTTTTATCTGAACTTTAGTCCCAGCCCAGCTCCCTTTCTTGACAAGTACGTTGCGAAGACCCCTGAGTTTTTCGAAGTCTTCAATACCCTCACTGAGCGCCATTTCGACAGCGTTCAGAACACTCGCCAGGGCCGCCTCACCAACAAGGAGAACCTCTTCCTGATGCCCCCTGAGAAGAGCGATGAAAGGTTCAGTATGAAATGTAAACTTAAATTTCTGCTTTGGTGTTCGATCAGCGTGACGAATAACAGATACAATGCCCTTCAGCTTCCACGAATGCTTTGGCAGGGGCGGCTGAGGCTCGTTCTCCTCGTTTGTCTGGGCTGGTGGTGGCAGGCCAGGGCTTGGTGCTGCTTGGGTCCTCAGTGACACATAACTAACATCATGGGAAGTGATATCCGAAGGTGGGGGAAGGTGTATCGAGGCGGCATCGATACTCGATACTGTGGAGGAGAGTATCTCATCGGCCTTGGGTGATGCAGTGCTACTTGGTCTCTCGGAGGTGTTATCATGAGATTCGGGGTAGCTTCCCGGGATCGACCTTTCAGGGGCGTGCAACGAGGCCGAGGAGAAATCTCTATCCCCAGTCGCAGTTGAGTTGCGGGGATGGGTTTCGAACTCTGAAGCAGCAGGAGACGGTGCCCCCGATGCCGCGTTTCCTCGCCGGAGCCTCTCTTTGACGAAAAGCTCCTTCAAGATGTTGGAACAATGGTCATAGTACTCATTGTTATCCTTGACAAAACTCCAACCGTTGACGTCGATGACATAACTCTTGCCGGAGACTCTCAAGAGGTCAAAGCCGCATACACGCTGGCCGAAAGCATTTGAGATTTTACTGGCCATGTCTCGCTCCTCAGGGCTGAGAGGCGTAACATAGCGCAGCTCCTTGCCGTGCTGGTTTCTCCTCACCACACCATCCACTACAGGGGACTTGCGCGTCTCGGCATGGCAGAAATTTGGCCCAACCGTGTAGGCTTTGATATCTTCCGCGTTGTCGACTTGCATGAAGCTTTCGTAGATATAACTACCATGAGGCTCAGTGATGGCACGAGGCGTATTGAGGTCGGCCACATAGTCAGAGCTTTTGTTCCCAATCTTCCGGAACAATTTTCTAGCACCACCACCTGCAGATTTAGGAAAGTAAATAATGATATTGTGATCTTCCCCACTTGTCGGCTTTTCAACAAATGGCTTCCTAAGTGTTTTGCCGTCAACACATAGGACGTCACCGTCCTCAAGTAACTCCACTTGGTGGGGTGGTCTGATCTTCTCAGGCAGGACGGCATCTATGGACACACCAGATATATCCTTGACATGCTTGGCAATCTCCGGTGTGAAGAACGTAGGACCGCCGTCTCGACTTATCTCGAGACGGCTGGGTGTGCGAACCTGTATCTTGTCAAGGAGCTGAAGACAGAGACGTCTGTCCCAGAGGACCTTTTGGCAAAGAACATCGTTGACGCAAAACGGCTTTCTAGCCTTAACGTATGCAATTGCTTTCTCTAGAGGGAAGCCATCCGAATAAAAGGAAATAAGATAATCACTGCGATCTAGTCAGTCCAATTGACTTTGCGCAACCCACGGCGAGGGGTTGGTAGCATGCAGAACTTGGTCTGACGATGGTGGACCACTTACCAAATGGGCCAATTTTCCACATCTTCAACGCAGGTCGTTAGCAACCGCAATTCTAGACCCTTGCTTTTGGATTCCCTGTTATGGGATGTCTGGAAAGGGATAACTCACCTTCGTCCAAAATTACCTTGTCACCAAAAACGATGACGTCAAATTCGCGATTGGCAATAAGCCTATTGAGAATGTTTCGGCTTGGCTTACTTCTTGCCTTAATGTCCAATGCGCATATACCAATGACGCCCCATGGAGCTGGTTTGACTATTGAGTTGGTATTAGCATGTAGCTATAGCCAATGCCATCGAGAAAGACTCACCGTCTTCCCTCTCCCTATGGGAAGGGCCTCGATCGCTTCCAGGGCTATGGCTGCTGTTGGCAGTGCTGCCGCTAAACCGTCGCTGAACTCTGCTTCTAGATCGCCCAGGTCGAGTGCGTATATTGGAATGGGTATTGGTTTCAGATCGCTGGTTTCGTCGAAACATTTCAAGTGGCTGGGAATGATTTTCCCTGGTAGTTAGGTTGTGGTTGCTGGACGGCTGACTTGGCTGAGAATTTGACGATGTCGTCACGAGGACATTGGAAACCCCCGCCTCGGACTGCGACTGGGGCAGCCCCAGGCCCTTGCCAGATGACATTAGGTACGATGCAGAGCGGACACGGAGGCCGGATGCAGAGCCGTGGGCGGCAGTAGAAGGCTTTATAGCTCCTCGTGAAGAGGGCAGGGATATGTTTGACAAGCGGCGGGCTTGTACGCTAAGAAGACTCGCGCTGGGAGTTGGAGATCCGGGTGGCAGATACGACCGGGAGGGATGTTGGATGTCTATGGTGGGGCGCAATCGCGGGGTGTCCGAATCGTCGATTGCATCAGAGGCAGGGTTTTCCAAAACACAGTCGTCACTGAGATAAGAGCTCGAGGCAGCCGAGATGCAATTGCGGTGCTGGAACGATTGGCGGATGCCCCTCAGCGACCACGGAGAAGAATTCGGGTAGGCGGAGAATTTGCGAAACTCGGCATGGACCTCAGATGTGCCAGGTTCGACACAGTGCTTCTTTCTCTCAGCAATTGAACTCGAGGTGGAGCACAGAGACACGCTGCGTAAGCGAGACCGGTGAGCGTCGCCTTGGTACCGATGGGGATCGGCAAATTCAGAACCAGGAGGGACAGGAGCAGGATGATGTTGCGAAAACAAAGAGGAGGGCGGCGGTTTAATATTCGGTGAGAGGGTGGCGGACGATGTGGAGGTGGAGGTGGTGCTAAAATCTGCTGGGAGCATGGTCAGTCGGTGCCAGAAGAGCTGGAGCTCTTTTAACTTTGGCTAGCGATCAGATAGGTGGGTTAACAGTAGCTGGATCCTGGCAACTCCCCTGGAAGAACAGACCTGGGGGGAACCGATGATGCCTGCAGTGTGTGTTGCCTTTATCAACGGCAAACGGCCTCGAGCCCCAAAACGAGAAAAAGAAAGGAAACCCTGGGATTGTGCCTCCAATAAGAGTGCATGCAGTCTGAGACAGCGTCTGGGAGCGCTCATGATAGGCCCGCCCAAGCGCTCTGGAAACACGCCTCCCGAGGCCACAGGCTAGAACAAATTCCAGAGCCATCGCACACTAGTCGGGGCTGGAGACTGACAGCAGCGCGTGTTCGTTCCACGCATGCATGCACGGTTATTGGGCTTGGTGTGTCGGCTACCAGGAACGAGCGTGGCCAAACTGGAGCCGCAGTGTGGCACCCAGCCAGGGCCAAGACGAGCCTTCTGGAGCAAGAATGCAGAGATCTCCGACGAAATAGCAACGGGATCGGGCTCCAAGGGGCCTTCATTCTTACCGAACGGATCCTATAACACTTGCGGTTACAGTGACACCCTCCCTAAGAGACTGGGTATGGAGGGAAATGGCCCGGCAGATGCTCGCGTGCTACAATAGGAGCACCTACAGTACCAACCGGTCAACATTGAAATTGAAATTGAGCTTGTGACTGGTTTGTTATATGTTGAGAACCAATGATATGACGCCAATTCGCCGTATTGTTCCAATTGCTAATTGCTGCAGAAGTGCTCTACGCTTCAACCTAATATCGCCCCCTTGATGTTCGACCTTGACTCAGCACTGCTACATCTGTCTCCATGTCGCATCTCGATGTCCATTGTATTGGCCGCCACCAATGAGGCATCCAGCCCTGCCTTGACCTAGTAGACAGCGAAACAGTCTCCATCACATGGCTCTCGAGAATTTTCTTCAATGGGCCCTGTGGGAACAATCTTGTTTTCCCAGCTCGTACTTAGCAGTCACATTCCACCATGCTCCAGTAAGCAGCGGTCTGATTGCGGAGAAAAGAGAGAACAAGGGCGACTCATGCCAAACCAGCCGGCCATGGATCAAATAAAAATATGGAGTTGGAGCTGTCGAGATCTGTGACGCAGCTATTGGCCCGTGGAGTAGAATCCCTGCTTGGTCACCTCCAACTGTGTTATCAGTCTTGATAGCGATAGTGGACCCCAAAAAAAAAGTTGCCGGCCAATTGAGACACCGCGGAAAATTCACCAGCGCCGCCTGAAAAGAGCCTTGGTGATCCTCAATCACTAGGACCATCTTCACATATACACGGGTCCGGCTGCTTTGACCGACAAGATGCCGCATTCCAATATTGAAGGGCCCTTGGTGAAGCGCCAGAAGGTGACTTCACCCAGCAAGGCAGCCAGGGGCGCAAATTCTTCCCGAATCTTTGCGCCTTTCAGGGTACGTCCAACGTTCCAAATCGTATAATTGCAGGTTTGCTTCCGTAACTAACATTGATTCGGCGGTAAGACTGTAGGTCTCGTGTCTCCTACCCAGGTCCCCTTCACATCCCTGCCCCTCGGAAAGACGAGCTTTCAGATCACTACTTCTGTCGGACGATCCCTACAAACCTACGACTTGCGCCGCGGCCTCAACCTCGTTTTTGTCAGCCAACCGCAGACTCCGGCCGGCATCACAGCAACCTTCGCGTGGAAGGAAAAGGTATTCGCAGCATGGGGGACGTCAGGAACCGATTCCCCGAAGGGAATCTGGGTGTTCCAGCGAGGAAAGAAGGTGGATGAGTTGGAACTACCATCGGACATCACCCAGCCAATTCAACAGATTCTGATCTTGGGAACTTGGATTGTCGCCTGTGCTACAACCCGAATTGAGGTTTTCAAGACGGCTACATTGGAGCACTACACCACTATTCATACTGTTACCGCTCCGGGTGGTGGAAACGAGATCACCGGCGGCGTCACGAGCATGCCCACCTTCCTCAACAAGATTTTCGTTGGTCGCAAGGATGGGTGGGTAGAAATTTGGAACTTGAGCACCGGGAAGCTCATTTATACGATTTTACCACCCTCTCCCGACTCAGGCGCTGTCACTTGTCTCGAGCCGACTCCCGCCTTGTCTCTCATGGCAATCGCCTACTCTCACGGCCAACTCATCATTACCAATGTTCTCACAGACAAGGTCGTACTTCAAGTTGAAGCAGGTAGCTCTGAACACCCTGTTAATAGCATCTCCTTCAGGACCGACGGTATGGGAGCCGGCCAAGATGGGAGGAAGGATGGTGTCATGGCAACAGCGACCCCTTCCTCTGGAGATATCACATTCTGGGATCTCAATGGTGGCGGGCGTGTTATGGGAGTTCTCCGAAGCGCACATAACCCTCCTGCCTCAGACGGTCCCCATGTCAGTGGAGGCGTCAGCCGGGTCGAGTTTCTATCAGGCCAACCTGTCATCGTGACAAGCGGCCAAGACAACTCTCTCAAGTCGTGGATCTTTGATGCAACACCATTTTCGCCAATTCCCAGAATACTCCATTCTCGAAGTGGCCACGCCGGCCCTGTCAACTGTCTCCAGTTCCTCCCCAGCGATTTCGACGGCGCTGATGCTGGAAACAAGTGGCTCTTGAGTGGAGGTCAAGACAGAAGCTTATGGGGCTGGAGTTTGAGACGCGATGGTCAGAGCTCGGAGCTCAGTCAGGGTAATATCAGAAAGAAGGCAAAGAAAATCGGCATCTTGGCCACGAATGCTTTGGCTCACGGACCGACAACAACGCTCGAGGACCTCAAAGCTCCTCAAATCACTTGCATCGCTTCCTCTCTTAATCGAGACGGAGGTATAGGTGCACTTCCTGGGAAACAACCAATTTGGCAAAAGGACCTAAGCCAAAAGAAGGCCGAGAGTGCTGAAATAAGTGGCATGACGGGCTGGGAAAGCGTTGTCACCGCTCACAAGAATGATACACACGCAAGGACCTGGTTCTGGGGCAGGAAGCGCGCAGGTAGATGGGCCTTCCCAACAAGCGACAGTACCAATGTTTCGACCGTTGCCATCTCCCCCTGCGGCACCTTTGCATTGGTGGGTTCTGAAGCGGGTGCCATCGACATGTACAACCTCCAGTCCGGTGTTCATCGGCAACGATTCCCTTCCAAGCTGACGCCAGCGCAAGCCCGCCAATTGAGGATACAACAGATGAAGCAGGCCGATGATGTGGTAAGACTTCAAGGAAGCCCTCAGAAGTTCTCTGCCGGTACAGGCAAACACACCAAAGCGGTCACGGGTATCATTGTTGACTCAATGAACAAGATGGTCATATCCTGCTCGGAAGATGGAAAGGTCAAGTTCTGGGACTTCCTCACGGGCAATCTCGTCGAACAGATTGACTGGACCTTGACCTGCTTTCCCACCGCAGCCAGATACCACCCCGGCAGCAATCTGGTAGCATTTTCTTGTAGCAACATGTCTATCAAGGTGGTGGATATGGAAACAAAAAAGGTCATTCGTGAATTCTGGGGTCCCCAGGATATGATCAATGACTTTTGTTTCTCTCACGACGGCCGCTGGGTCATTGCAGCGTCTCAGGACCGAGTTATTCGCGTGTGGGATCTTCCTACCAGCCACCTGATTGATGCGATTCGCCTTGAGAAACCATGCAAGGCACTCTCTATGTCTTCATCTGGGGAGTATTTGGCCGCAACAATCGAGGATCAGCTAGGTGTCACAATTTGGACAAACAAGTCCTTATTCAAGCACGTGCCCACCAGACAAATATCTGAGAACGAGGTTGGTCAGACGGAAATGCCTACTGTTTCTGGAGCTGGCAACGGCGGTCTTTTGGCTGGTGCCTTCGAAGAAGAGGAGACGGAAGGAGATAATGCGGTTTTGGCACCCACTATTGAGCAACTCAGCTCGGAGTTGACCACACTCAGTTTGGTACCCAAAGCGAGATGGCAAACTCTCCTCCATCTGGATCTTATCAAGGCACGAAACAAGCCAAAGGAAGCACCCAAGCTGCCAGAAAAGGCACCCTTTTTCCTGACCTCTGGCGCGAGCGATGCCAATGCCCAAGACAAGAGCGAAGACCTTTCTAAATCTCGTATTACCAAACTTGACAAAGAACGCTTTGAGGAGCTCTTTACGACCAAGCTGCGAGCTGGGGCCGCCGCTGGAAATTGTAAGTGTCTATCTATTTCGCTCTTCGCATACCTCCTCCGATGGTAGCCATTTGCTAACGACCGTTTAGATGATGATTTCATTGAACACCTCAAGTCCCTTTCACCGTCAAGTGCGGATCTTGAGCTTAGATCGTTATCCGTAGGAAACGGGGACGATGCCTCCAACGAGCTCTTGCATTTCATCCGCGCTCTGACGGCTAGGCTGCAGATTCGGCGTGACTACGAGCTTAATCAAGTCTGGATGACCGTGTTTCTCCGACTGCATTCCGACCTTGTCATGGGCAGTGAGGCCTTGCTGTCAGCGTTGCAGGAATGGAGGTCATATCAAGAGCAGGAATGTAAGCGACTGGATGATTTGGTTGGATATTGCAGCGGAGTAGTCGGTTTCCTTCGAAGTCCTCGTACATAGTCTTCGGGCCCAAATATACATTCATCTATTATCTTTATTATGCATAATACATCCGTCTATCTGCCATTACGTGATGTAAGATGATGTGCATCGGAGGAAGCAGGACATTGATGCGTTAGTCTGAATTCTCCATGGCGGAAAATCCATAAGAGTATTCAGGTTAGTGTTCAAAGAAAAACTTTGTGGCACCTCCCATTCACAGAAGGCTCACATCACGTAGCGGTAGATTTTCGGCGTGGGAGAAAAAAAAGTGTGCTGGATAAAGTCGCATTCGCAGCCTGGCCTCGCGATATGAATATATCTACCTGCTCTTACCTAGGTATTACTTTGCTAGGAGGGGAGGGAGGATGCGGAGCGAGAGACTCCATCCATCGACGAGGCTGCCATGTACCAAAGTCGGCAG